CTCTCTCACTCGCAACGTCTGTCTCTCTCTCACTCGCTCACTCGCAACGTCTGTCTCTCTCTCACTCGCTCACTCGCAACGTCTGTCTCTCTCTCACTCGTTCACTCGCAACGTCTGTCTCTCTCTCACTCGCTCACTCGCAACGTCTGTCTCTCTCTCACTCGCTCACTCGCAACGTCTGTCTCTTTCTCACTCGCTCACTCGCAACGTCTGTCTCTCTCTCACTCGCTCACTCGCAACGTCTGTCTCGTTTCGTTAATGTAACCGGGATGGATGGATGGATGGAACGTGCGATACGTGAACGTATGCGTTTTTTTTGCGCGTTTTTTCTCGATGTACGCTCGAGGTTTCGTTAGTTTGAACTTTTTTTGAACTGATGGTGGACTTGGTTTTGACGTTCTCGCGTAAGCAGCGAAGCCGGCTACTTTCGGAATGCAATTTATCACTATCCCTGTCCCTATGCGGCCGCATAGAAAATCCTTAACCGGGATGGATCCTTCGCTCGCTGGGTTAACTCTTCTTTGAGGAAGATATCGCGGATGATTGTGGTAATTCTTGATTATTTGATCGTTTTCGAAGGTTGTTTTTATAATTCGAGATTGACGAGATTATTATTAACTTTGAGGAAAGAGTTGTTCGTAAGGGGGGATGCGATTATTGGAAGTGTAATTTATTTGAGATTCTCATAGAAAGGTTATAAACAAGTAAACGTTATTTTTCCAATTAGGCATCTGATATAACTTGGAATTACTAATTTAAATTTTCTAACATTTTTCCATTCTCACGTTTTAAACATCGTTTAAAAATTTTATACGAATTTTCGGTTCGATTGGAACGATCTATAAATTTTCGTACTAGTTTATCAACTAATTATGATAACATCGTGCCTCGCGCTGTTATTATCGATGATACGCCGCCGAAGGCAACATAGTTTGAGATTGTTTTTGCTTGGAAAATCGATGAGGCAAAGTGACACGTCGATCTTTCGGATATGAATCCTTCCAAACTCGATCGATCAGCATCGATTATTTCGTTATTACGTTATCAACTTGTGTAAGTTTGTCAGGGAAACATCGTGTAATTAATGTAGAGATTGGCGAGATACATTATGAGTAAATAAATGAGAATTATTCTTTCTTTCTTTTTTTTTTTTCGTTAGAAGAATCGAAAACGAAACGAAAATCCTCTTCCTATCGAATTCAAAATTTTTGCTATTCTTTATTGTTCCGTTCAATGATCAAATTTAAACAATTTTACCTCGAAATTGTAAGAAATTCTCGATCGTGTAAATTGAGAATTGGTTGGCAGTTTTCTCAGTGGCGAACCTTTGATCTTCATTACCATCCGTTACGTTCGAGGCACGAACTCGATAGATTTCTTCAGAAGTTCCATCGACGTCAAGAAGATCGTGATAAATTGCGATCGAAAAGTGCTCCTAAGAAATAAATCGACTGGATCGCGTAAAAACTTGGATAATCGCGGGGGAAGTAGTTTTTGTTGACTTTCCTACTACGCAGAGCCAAGACGTTAGAAATCTCGTTTGTTTTAGTTACACGACCTTTTCCAAAGCGTTTCGGATAACGTCTCGAAGATTAAACTATTTCTTTTTTTTTTTCGAAAGAGAAAGAAAGAAAGAGAATTATAGAATTAAGATAGAAATTAAGATAGAAAAGAACGAAAGAGATTACAAATTTTTCCTTCTTTCAAAATATTCAAAATTTTTAACTCTAAAATCTTCTAGAAACCTATATATATATATTCTTTAAAAAAAAAAAAACAAGAAGCGTAACAATTACAGTAATCCTAATCCTTAATTCACGTCAAGATTCAAAGAAATTTCGAAAAAAAGAAGAAAAAGAGAAAAAATTGAGGTATCCGTTCTCCGTTTCCCTTCTAATCAAAATCACAGGTAATACGAGAAAATTACTCTCAATTAACGAAACTTTGAACCCGTTGATCAAAGAAGAATCAGCACCAAGGGCCTCGCCAACCCATTCCCGTGAAATCACTCTCTCTCTCTCTCTCTCTCTCAAACGAACAGAAGAAGCGGAAAAGCGGCGAGAAAAGAGGAGAAGAAAGAAGGGGAAAGGAAAAAAAAAAAAAACTTATAAAAATTCTCTAAGAGAAGGCTACCTGCTATCGTCGAATCTCCCTGAGAGAAATTTAATTTTCCCTGTCCTGTCCTGTCCTGTCCTGTCGTCCTGATCTTCCACTCGACACTCGACCGCGAATCACTATGACAGAATGTTTTCATATAATATCAAAAGCTCGTGAACGCGCGCGCGCGCGCGCGCGCCGCCCTTGCGGACCACTCAATCATCCCTCTTAATCCGGGTGGCTAAGGTCTAAAGGACTAAAGGTAATCAAGATAAACTACTCTCCCCGGGGGGAATTCGAAGTTGCAGCTGCTTCGAAGGAGACATCGAAGTAATTAATTCGTATCTTTCGGCCCGTCCTCCCTCACCCCCTCCCCTTTTCTCGTGTTCTTCCTGTTCTTCTTCTTGTCACGAGGCGGGTGGATGGGCGAAATAAAGTAAACGAAAAGAAGAAAAGTTATATCTTTCTTTCCTCCAGGAAACGAAGCTTATGAAATAGACGTTTCAATTAGCGGCTGTTCGGCTATTCGAATACCAAGGGATTAGAATCGGCTCCACTACTCGGGTTCAACGTAAATTACTCTGATGAAATTAAAAGCGTCGCCTCCCCTCCCTTCGTTTCTCTTCTTTCTCGCTTTTTCGCTTATTGGCTCTCGCTTCTTTGGCTATTTTACCTCCTATTAAAATACGATCTCGTTGTCTCTCGGGATGGAGGGGGAGGGGAGGGGAGGGAGCAAGCCCCCTCTTCCCTCCCTCAATTGCCAGAGGCTGGTCAAGGTATATTATTGTAATCTTCAGTTTTGATCTCTCTTTTCTTTCTTTCTTTCTTTCTTACTTTTTCGTTATTATTATTGTTATTATTATTATTATTATTATTATTATTATTATTATTATTATTATTATTATTATTATGGTTTTCTTCAAAGTTAACGGAACGAAAGTCGTTCGAGAGTTGAAGGGAAGGGGAAACGGGGTTTTTTGAGGGGGAGGGGAGGGGAGGGGGAATCGAGGAGAGGATGTGGGCACGTAAATTGTAGAGTTCTGTGACGTTAATGTGGTCGGTGTGTACGTGGTGCATGTAAAGTATGAATAATGTATAGGAAACGTTTTATGCGGTATATGTATATATATATATATAGAGAGAGAGAGAGAAAAATGAGGCAAATTTTGGTTGTAAAATTTGCATTAAATGTTAATGCGTTCGCAATTTGAACAAAGTTTATGGAGTTTTAATTTCGTGTTATTCCGTAAACAAAAATTGCAGTAGAATATATATATATATATATATATATATCGTATCGCTTTTCAAAATAAAACTTGGGCCTCTCTTATCTTCTTCCCCCACTAATTCCACTTTGGACTACAGAAATAGAAAGTTTCTATCCAGATTCCATTTGATTTCGAATTACACGAGGGGTTAAAACAATCTGTCGATAAAATAAACCAAAACGGATACTTTGTCGGGCTAGCGTTAGAATCGCTTTCAAAGTAAATCCTCCGTTTAATAGAGGATGCTACTTCCGTCGCCTGGAAACGTGAAAATTCAATGTATAAACACGCGTAAGGAACAAAGGGGTTAAAACGGGTTACTCCCCTTTCGTTACATCAGAAACGTTCGTTTCAATTATCTCTCGAGAGGATGTAACACCCTCTCACGGGGGCCCTCCTCGCCCTCATAAATATTTATACGTAATTCCTTGGCAATTTATCGTATATTTATACAAAGTCACGGGACCGAGGAACGGTTGAGGAGAGGAGAGGAGAGGAGAGGAGAGGAGAGGCGTCGAAGCGGGATGGAGCCGGCGAGAAGTTAAGCGCTTTATGTTCGAGCCAGGTTAATAGGGATTCTCGCTTAGCAATGTCGACAGCGTAGGCGAACGACGCTTTGCCGATTTGTCCCGTGTAGAAGTTGGCGTGGTGGTGTTGCACCCTCTTCCGTTTGAAGCGGTCATCGGTGCATAGAAAGCGCGGAAAAATTCTGTTTTCGCTAACGCCACTTCTTGTTTGCGTTCCTCGTGCACGATGCAGGGGAAGGATTTTTTATTTTTTTCCATTTTTTTCCCCTCCATCCCTCCTATTTCAGATCTCTTTCTCTCTCTCTCTCTCTCTCCTCCCTTTCTCTTCTTTTTTTATTTCTGCTCGAGTTCTAAAGGGTACTTTTTAATTCCGATTTTTTTGCCCGTATTTGTTGTTTATGCGAAAGTTATGTGAAAAACAGGAAAAAGTGATATACGCGTAACCGTATGGTTCGGATCGCTTGCAAGCATTTTCAAATTCCCAGCGAGATATTTGTATTTCATGAAATTAAAGTTGGTAAAATAATTGTCATTATTCGAAATGAAATATGAATTCCTTTTTATCCATGCTGCTATGTTAAGCTCGTTGCATTCGTATTTTTTATATTGTTATAAAGCAGATCATGGAAAAAGAAACATGTTCGTATAACGTTTCACATAAAAATTATTAGAATATCATAAATGTATTTTCATTCTATAATAATGTACAAAAATATCCCCATGTAATACAACTATCTAATTGCTATATATATATATATATATATATTCAGACATTCTGTTAAAAAATATTTCTGGTGATCTCGCGAAATACCACATTCTCTCTAGATAAAGGAACGCCGGTATAAAAATCCCGTGTACGCGATCGGTGTACAGGAGCGGACAACATTTCCCGTATGTGGAACGACGTACACATATCCCTTTTGATTGTACGGGGTCCGAGGAGAACGCGACGCGCCGCAAGAATTCGCGTTACGTTGCGAAGAAATCCCAAGAAGGATTAAAGAGTTGGGGGAGGAGGAAGAATGGAACGCTAAACGGCTTCTGGACGAGGCAGGCATTCCCTAAGCTAAGGCTATCCCGCGGGAATATTTATATTCTCGCCACTTACCCGCTGTAAATCCCTGGCCGGCAATTAAGGTTGGCCGGCAAACGGGTCTCGTTTCGTCTAGTCTCGTCTGCCGGGCGTCCAGTTTGCAGCCTTGTAACTCTCGACGGTCGTTAACGTGGACTATCATTGCACACGGTGCCGGTTACCGTGCATGATGTGTTCGTCTTTCTCCATCTTGTTCATCCTTGTACGATGCTTGTCCGCGTGGCCTCACTCGTTAGTCCCTCTCATCGCCGCAAAATGTTACCGCATTATCCTTTCCGCATCCGTGTAGCACGTAGCCTCACATTTGTAATTTTAGATTCGAAACGGGCTTCAACTGAAACGAGTTTTAAATAGAAGGGTTGTTGGTGACTTTTAGATGGTGAAGAATGGCTTGCACAAGTGTTACGAATTCTAGAATTATTTGGATTGTAATGTAACTTATATGGTTTAGTGATAAAGTTTATTTTTTTTATTTGTTATTTGAACTTTTTCTAATATTCTATTATTCTACTATGAATAGAGTTGCTATGTTTTAGGAAAATTAATCTAATTCTCTCCGCAAAGAATTGATTTCAATATTAAGAAATTATACGATTTATAGGTTATGTATCTCTCGATATTAATATAAAGAAGTAAAAGGAAATTGTAAAGTGAAATATTAATAAGATACTAAAAATTAATTATAATTGATCGGTAAAGATCGATTGGCAAAGTTACTTAATTATTTTAATATCCTATTGCGCAGTTCTCCGAGTATGAATATAAAGTTATTTGCGCGTCAAATATTCCATTCAATTTCGTACTTGCATTGCACAAACATTTTCAATCATCGATGATTACTACTATCTTTATAACACAACATAAAATAAAACAATCTATTTATAACTATATCATTATATTATAACTAAATATCCCGTTACATTCCGTACATCGTTAGACGGATATTCGTCTCGCTATTTTTAAACGCCATTACACGATACACTACGCCGTATATACGATATACCGTGCATATTTACGTGCGAATATCACGCGCGTTCACTAGCGTTCCAACATAACGAATAGTTGCCTCGATAATCTGGCTTCGTTCTAACTCGTTAACCTTCGTCGTTTTGCGTGAAATGTTTATACAAGGCATATAGCATCGGTGAAGGCAGGATACGTATAAACACTGTTACGTAGCACTGACGTAAGATTTGTCACGTATACTACGACCACGACGACGACGACAAGTTTCGAGAAAGTTTTGTCCCGCGGTTTATGGCCTCTTGTAATTTGCCGTGAATCTCGCGTCTTCATACCGTCACACTCGGGTCAACTGCACTCCCTCGTTAACTCGCCACGTGCTTGTAAAATCTCGTCGAATTACTGTACCGCATGGCCGTGCGCGTTTCGTCACGCCAAACTCGCCAGCTGCGTCGAAAATAAATCATACCGCCACGATGCCGCGACGCTAGCGACATACCTGATGCTTCGTGTGGCATCATGGCGGAAAAAAAGCGGTAACGAATTTCACGTGACGAGTAAATGAAATCGAGCGACAAATCATTCGCGTTAGAGTTGACGTTATTTTAAACTAGCTGTTTTAACTTCACTTTGATACTCATTTGTTATTTTTATTCTTTCGTCCGTGTTACTTGTTACGAACAAGTGTGTGAAACGTGTGATATAATGTGTCTGCGAGATGATTGCGTGAGCGATGATTGTTTGGCTGAAAATTTGGCGAGAATGTAGCAGTACGTGTTTTCTTCTGTATTTGAGAAATTCAAGTTTGAATATTGAATCAGGTATTTATTTAATTAAAGTTTGAATGATACTTTGAATGATTTTTGTATATGATGAATATACGATATTATTCCTCTAGCGAGTTAGGTTAAGATATATAATTACTTCATTTACAATGCTACAGTTTGACGATTTCTCTTCTTTTCTTTTTTAAAAATGAGATATTGTTTGTTCGGCACGAACTACGATCATCCAATTACCATAATATTCAATGTAATTAAAACGTGTTAAACGATACGTAAACTCGGAGAAACTTTACTCTTAGTACTTAGTATTTTATTACGTTATACTCGAACGAATATATTTGCATGAAGCTAGAACAGTTTCTATTTGTATAGAATTAATTTAATTCTTATGTTTTCTGAATCTCTTAGATAAGAAAAATTCTTTCTACATACTTTTAATATGTCTGATATATCATCTTGTTACGCATAATCTCGACATTAAATTTTTCAATCGTATATACGCATATTTCCACGATAATTCGTATATTAAACAGATTGTTCACTTTATTCGTAATTATTTCGTTCAAGAAAAAGATTAACGTAACTGAATATTAATACCAATATTGAATGCAACCGGGAATCGGGCAAATAATTCATATTCCAGGCATTCGCGTTTATCATCGCAATTCTGAAGGATTGAACACGGCTGAGCGATGGCTAAGGGGGTTGAGAGGGTGGTTAAGGGTGGTTGAAATCAAAGCGGCACACAGTCGCGCCTGTTAAGCGCGAATCAGAAGTCAGGAGTTAACGTAATACCCTGTAACGATCACTGGCATCAGATGTACCGAACGACGGTAAATGAAACGCGAAACGATAAATCATACACGCCGTCGCATACCGCGGTTATGTTTTTCGATCTCCATGCAGATGGCTTGTAAACGTTCCATTAATCGAGATTGCGCCGTTCTAATAACGACCGCGATCCGTACACCCGGTATGCATGATGAAAATCGAAATCGGTTTATTGGCCGCAATCAGAGCGATACGGTTCAAAAGGGGAAATACTTGCTTCCTTTTCGTTTCGATTCGCCTAGATTCGTGATTCATCGATGCCGACCATTGTTGAGAAGGTAATCGTTTGTTACGATGTTCAATTCGTTCGGTTCATCGATATCGAGGAACAATCGTTTTTTTTTTTTTTATTTTCAAAGAAGGTAGAACGAAGAAGCTGTATTTCTTTTCGAAAATCGAAGAAAGAATCCATCCAAAAATTCGAGAATTATTCTCATTTAAAATTCCACGATCCAGAAAAAATTCGTAAACGTTTTGCAGTTTCTGAATTAACAAAGGGACAAAGTGCACGCGAATTAATACGGAAGAATGCAGTTACGATTTTTAGTAACCCGGTAATTAAACGAGTGTTCTACTCAAAGGAGTTGGGTTACCCGGAGCAACCTTAAGGGTTGTTAACTTCAACCTCGTGGATGGAAGGAGAAGGGGAAGCAAGACGGACGGAGAGAAGGGCTTGTTGAAGAATAGATTTGAGGGTCGGTGAAAATGGGATGGAGGATGTTCGTCTGGTTTTTAAAGTGTACTTTCTTCCCCTTCTTGTTTGTTCCCACTCTTGTTTTACCACCACTTTTATTTCTCTGGATACGTTCTTCACCTCTCGATCGTTGAAAGCAGATTCTTGGTTAAAATAGTCTATTGAATCTCTTTCTACATTGTTTTTATTATTATTATTTTTTTTTTTTTTTACAAGATTTATCTCTTTTACATTATCCGTAAATTACATATGAAAAGGAATATTAATAGAAATGTCGTACGTATTATTGTACGAATATTTCGAGATTATTTGTTCTTCACGAATCATTGTAATCTTGTATGTTTCTGGAACATCTCCAGCTCTCGCGTTCCCTAATTTTTGAATTTTTTGAACCGTATTTTTATTTAGCAGGATTATTTATACAATCAGTTTAGAATTCTGTATTGTTGCAGCGTGTATCGCGAGGCTTTGTTCCAAGTTTGAACTCATAAAGCAAACATGCACAAATAACAATGTTAGCAACAGACATTTTCCAGCGAGTTTTTTTTTTTTTTTTTTCCTTTTTTTTAACCGAAATGATAAGCCGAGTACAAACTTTCGTAAAATAAAAGGTATAATAAAAACAAGTGAAACAGCAAAAGCAATAAAAAGTGATAAAATATTTGGACGCTGAGTGGTGAAATGACCGCATGAAAAAAACCTCGCGAACTTTCTCGACTACGTACCGATAGGAAACGTACCGCTATTTATTTTCAAACTCGATACAAATAAATACGTTGGTCGTTCAAATTAATCCTCTTCAAAAAAATTCTCTTCAAATCTAATAATCTTCGCGCAGAAACATTAAAACAATATAATATATAAAGAAAAAGATCCCCTCTTATTTCGTCATTTGAATATTTGAAAAATTTTCAGAAAGAAGAAAAATTAAAATTCCTCCTTATCCTTCGTTCGAGAAGAAACAAACAAACATAATAAATAATAATTTCCAAACGCGGATCGATTAAATTTAAAATCTCGTTAAACCACCCAGACTCTTCGTGGATTAGAGCGGCGTGGAATAATCGGGCTCGCGTTACATAAATAAGAAGGGGGGGCGGTTATAGCGGCGGAAATGAAGAAATAGAACGGGGCGAGAAGAATGGTGGAGGGGTGTCGAGGGTGGAAACAAGAAGCGCGGAGGAGGGTGTCGAAATACCCCCGGCGTTGGAAAATTCCATGCATACGCGAGTATCGCGAAAGCAACGCGGCATAAACAGCCGGCCGTGTAATAATAATGCTCCAAGATTCACAACCCTTCTTCCTGCTCTCTGAATTTTCCGTTTCAATGTTCCGATTCATCCTTTTTCAATCGGGAGGGACGACGATCATTCCGCGGACGCGAGCGTTTTTATACGAATCGATCGAAAATGATTTTAATAATGGCGGCCGATAAATGATTTCGAAGCGCGATACGATCCCTAACGTGATATCGTTAGATGGGCACACGCTCTCAACGTGGGGGGGGGGGAATAATGAAAGAGGGGTTCGGGTATCGATCCCCCAATTGTTATCGGTTCGTATCGGTTACGCGTCGAGTTTCACGCGGGAATATCGCGAATTTAATCCTTAATTGTCGGCTATGCTCGCGAGAGATTCCCTTGGTCTTTAGACGAGATTCGAGGCGGTAAGATAAGGTAAAAGTTTTCAACTTTTTTCCTCCAATGTTGACGGATTATAAAACTGAACTTTATTTCTCGACTTATTTTCTTTCTTTTTTTTTTTTTTTTAGTGAATTTTTTAGTGAATTATTCTCGATTTCGCGATTATAACAAATCTCTTCAAGTCTAATAATCTTCACAGTTAGGTGAAGAAATGGTATGAAATTGGGAAAGAAATTAAAACAATATATAATATATAAAGAAAATCCCTCTTATTTTGACATTTGAATATTTGAGAGTTTTGTGTTCGCAGTGTATTTGATTCTCGATTCCTTTCGTATAACATATAATTTTTTATTAATAGCGATTAATTCTAAAATGGAAACTTACGTGCACCGAATTATTTCCCTTCAATTTCTTTAAAATAGGTTTATATAAATTTCATTGAATGGTTCCTTTCTCTTTCGTTCCAATCTTGGCCGGCCGCTATACGACTCCTCCGTCCCAATATCTTCCTTTCCTCTAAATTAAACAATACCGCGTCAAGCGAACTGGCCGTTGGCTCGCAAAATTCGAGGCAAGATGGTCGCAAACGGGCGACCATTCCCCCCCCTTTGCCGGGCGGAATTGCTTTTCTCTTGTCGGTCGAGGAGAAGAAGCGAGGAGGAACAGCGAGAGAAGGGGGTAGCGATGACATCGGTGCATCCTGTCTGGAGCAACGAGCTTGGAAGGGAAACTGTGCGAGGGGGTGACACCAGGAGGGTAGAGAAAGGAGGGGTGAGAGAGAAGCGTTGGACGACGACTCGAAATAGCTTGTTGCATTCAGACGAGGATAAGCCGTGGCAGCCTCCTCCATCTTGTTTACTTTGTAGAATGGTTCGCTGGTATTTGGTACCCTACCCTCTCCTTCGTCCCTTCTTTCTCTTCCTCCCTCCCATCTCTCAGCGCGGCTTGTAAACGTACGACCCTTCGTCTCGACGCCCATCCCGCCCCCCCCCTCTCCCTTCTCCATGTTCCTCGTCATTGCTTTTATTTCGCCGCTGGCCTTGCGGATGATACGATGAAATATGTATAAAAGGAATGTGTTCACGAGGTGAAAACGTTTCGCAGACGGAAGATACTCGAGCGCGGGAAAATAAGTACCGCTCCAGGAACTTGTTTCTGACGACAATGGGACGAGGTGGTCCCTATATTGCTTTGTCGAAGCTAAATTGATACGCAATCGCGATGCCGCGAGATCTTCAGGCCCGTGTTTCTCCAAGTAATGATCTTGAAAAATCGTTATCGACGTTTGCTATTTCGACGTATCTTATATCCATAGCAAGTTTAGAATATTGAACATATTCTATATTTCTCAAATTATATATGTTATAGTTCTTATTTTTAGATTCATTTTTATTTGCACGACAGTATATATTGTATATAAAATAATTCGAGTTCGAGTAATAATAACTTTTAATAATTTGATGAA